CGCGATGTTCAACAGCGCTCCTCAATGAATTTTGAAAACAGATAGGTCTTGAGATCCGCTCTGAACTTCGCAAGTGATGGAGAAATAGTTAGAGAAGTAGGTAGAGAGTTCCAGAGAAAAGGACCAGAAAAAGCAAAAGCAGATTTGGCAAAAGAGTGTTTAACACGAGTTAAGAAAAAGCGAGAAGAAGAAGACGATCGTAAACCGGGGCGTTTAGGTTCAATTAATATATCTAAGTACTTAGGAAATAATTTAGATTGAGACTTATACATGAACGTGCAAATTTTAAAAATTATTCTATATTTTATAGGTAGCCAGTGCAAGAGAACAAGATATGGAGATATATGAGAAAAGAAAGGGGCACGAGCAACTAGACGAGCAGCAGAGTTAAAAGCTTTACTTAAAGGATAGAGTATAGAGTCAGGAAGACCATAGTAGAGCGAGTTACAATAATCAATCCTAGATAAGACTAACGAAGTAACAAGAAGGAGAAGAGTAGGATCATCAAGAAAAGGCTAAAGTTTTTTTATTCTACGTAGATGAAAGTAAGAGCTTCTAGCAACACTATTAATCTGAGAAGAGAGAGACATAGTAGAATCAAAGATAAAACCTAGACTACGAAACTTATGAGAGACATCAAGAGTTTTAGAATCAGGTAAGATAATAGGAGGAATAGTAATTGAGTGTTTAGATTTATTAAAACAAATTAATTCAAACTTAGATGTTAGGTGCCAAGTACAATCAAATACAATTGAACATTATTTTCTCAACCACCAAAGTTCTCAAATACTAAATCGTTTATCAGAATATAATCAGCGTTCATTTAAATAAAACCACATTCTACGATCCAATTAATACCATTTAGTAGATTTATAATCTTTGGTATCTTAGTAAAACTGCTACCTGAGTTTACCTGTAGTGAATGTTTTTATTTGCTTTGATCGGCGAATTTACGAACAAATTTTTCAATAAATGAAAATGATTAAACAAATTTTGAGTTTCTGTTTCCTGCAAATGTTACTTTTTATAGGTATTTTTTGTTCAAATATTTTTAAGCAACTCAAAATGGATGTATCTTGTTAATTCTTTTTGTTTTTCTTAACTTTCAATTTTAACAACAGTCTTCTCTTCTCCTTTCTAATTGACTCATTAATTCTAATGTCTAAATCACTAATGTAATGCTAATCTAATCTTTATAGTTTTAGTCTTAAAAGACTGTTGTTAGGACTCTTTTACTTTTTTAGAGTTCTTATCTTAGGAGATGTATTTAAAATTTAAAAAAATATTTAACAATTGATACACATTTTATGATTTTATTGTGCAAATCAAAAATTAACTTTTAATTTATAATAGAAAATTGGTTGATTTTAATAAATTTAATAATTTAATTTAATATTTTAATTAATGCAAAAAATTTACTAGAATGAATATGACTATTATATTTTTTTCATTAATTATTGATTTATGAACCGTTAATTAAGAGTTAATTTAATTAAATAAAATAAACTAATTGAACATTATTAAATTAAAAATGGTTAATCATTTCTTATTTTTCATTTCTATTTCTTATTAACCATTAATGTGTTAAAATTAAATCAATCTTTTATTTTCCAATTTCATCAGATATTTTCTAATAATTTATAAATAAATTGGTTTTTTTTTCAAATTCTTAAAGTTTTTTTTATTAAGCATAATATTTTCACAAAATGTTATAATTAACAATTTTTTACATATTTAGCTCTATAAATTTAAACCATTATTTAGGAAGTAGCAGCAGTTTGTATTGCTACCAATGTGATTCTAGTGACAACTTGGACTGCAAGGAATACTTTGACCATGATAACATGAATGAAATTGCTCTCAGGCCAACACTATGTACAGTCGATGCCGCTGCCTACTGCATCAAAACTACTGGAGTCTGGGGAGGTATGTTTGTCGCAGCAAATTAATTCGATGTTGTTAATTTGTACCTAAATGAGGATGGCTAAGATGTTGTTAATTTGTTTAAGCAAATTAAACTAATTTTAGTATAAATAAGAATTTTTTCTAATTTGGAAACTTACATGATAGGAAATATGGTGGACATTTATTGTAATGGTTTTATTTCACATGTATTGATTTAATTATACGAGAGCTAGTTCGTGAAATTTGTTGTTGTTTGCAAACTATATGTTGGATTAATATTTATTTTCTAAACAATATTGTGTGTCTCAAAGTCTTTGAATCAATTCAATTAATGTTTACAGCTGCTACCTTGTTTATGGTTTTAATCTGATCTTTCAACTATTTCACACACACATTTTAAACCTCAATTAAACAAACTCGATTTTTATAGTAGAATTGAATGATATTAACTACCGAAATAATTTTCCACTCAAGCGAATTTCTTATCCATTCAACACAACCACACACCAACCAGCATCTCGCGCAAACATTCCTGTCACTCAGGTTCTGTGGGCACGACGAGGTTCTGCAGCTCTCGAGATCTCTTCAACCAGTGTCAGTATGTGCAGTATGAGGATCATGACAGGATATACAGGGCCTGTATATACACGTGCAGAGGGGATGGTTGCAATGGCGCCAAGACTCTTTCCCTGGCCACAAATAAATTACATTTACTGGCATGTACATTATTCTCCATGTTTTTTTTATTCTTAAACCGACAAGTTAATCACTTATTTTGTGTATAAATTTTAAATTAAAAAGATTATTTGTTTTTTTTTGTTTTAAACAGTTTTTTTCACCACGTTATTTTCATGATTATCATTTTTGCTGTAATTGTTTTTACATTTCATTTTTTTATAAATGTTTTCATTGATTATTTGAACAAGAAACTAATAAAAAAAAACACGAAATGGATAAGTGGAACTTTTTATTGGGAAAAAAAAGTTCAATAAAAAAAAATTCAAGTTTGATCGTTGGCGTAAGAACTCGAGTGGGGTGGTCATCAAACAGAAAATTCTCATCAAAATTAGTCACTAAAATTAATCTTTTGATGTTTTGGGAATAAATTGAGAATCTTCGTTCACAATCACCACCCATCTTTCGTATTATTAGCAGCATTAATATTGTCACAGTTTACAAAGGATTCAAACATGCGGATAATCTTTTGTTGTGCATTTGCCTTTCATACGCCTGCAAACTCTGCAGCTGCTGTCGTTGCTGCAGTAGCTGTTGCTGTTGGTGGAAGCGTTTGCTCCTGAAGGACAGCAGGCAGATGAACGCTCTCCTGAACTTCGACGACATGGCGCTGTACAGTATTGGGTTGATGGAGCTGTTGGCGTACACCATGATTCTGTCGTGTGGTTGTTGTGTATTGTGGTTGTTGTGTGTCGTGTGGTTGTTGTGTATTGTGGTTGTTGTGTGTCGTGTGGTTGTGTATCGTGTGGTCGTTGTGTATCGTTTGGTTGTTGCATGCCGTGTGGTTGTTGTGTGTAGTTGCTGTGGCGCTAAGGTTTTGTTGTTGTGTCGTGTAGTTGTTGTGTAGCGTGTAGTTGCTGTGGCGTTGTTATAAAAGGAAGATGATATCATATCGTAGTATATACTACTTTATATCAAAGTAGATATACAAATTGCTAGCCACGTCTCTTTTACAATGATAATATGATGTACGTACATTGATTATATTATTGAACGTTTTTAAAAAAAGTCAAAACTAAATGTTTATAGCAGTTGATTTATTTCAAGATGATTGACTAACATTCTAGCCTTAATGACAGATGTATTA